AGACGAACCCCGCCACATAAAGGAGGAGATTCCCTTGAAATGACCACTTCTGTGATAATGTTGACCCAGGATCTAAGTAGAACCCGTTCCATTATTGGGGGGGTGTTCCCTGAATCCCCAGTAAAAGGGGACACCTTAATATTACAACCAAAAGGGCTTCCCAAAGACTTTAACCCCCCCAGAATAAAGGGGAGATTCCCTTGTGTCACAGAAGTGGGGATAAACCCCTTGATCCCACTCAAATCTGAACCGCAGCCACGGTCAAACTCGCGGTTTCAGGAGGGGGCCCTTCGAACTTTATGTGGTTGAAATCCGCCGACATTGCTCGGCGTGTCGGATACTTACTAGAGGATAGAGGATTTCCCCCCCCCCTCCCCCCCCCGCCCGACGTCTATTACGTAGGTTTTTGGGGGGGGTCCCCCACGTACCGCGCGGCAATTTGATGACGTTCCACTAAACGTAGTCTTCGGGGAGCCGGTGTCGCAAAACAGGGGTCCCAGGCTCGATTCCCCCTGCCGGCTTTTTTGCTGGCTTGGGCTTCCTGCATCCTTTTGCCGAAAATCTGGAAAAACTCAATGTTTTTGGACGTCCTCTTTGCGAAAACGCTGGAAAAACCGTGTTTTTTTGCGGGAAATACTGGGGATACATACATACATACATACATACATACATACATTACATACATACATACATACATACATACATTACATACATTACATACACATACATTACATACATTACATTACATTACATACATACATACATTACATTACATACATACATACATACATACATACATACATTACATGTACATTACATACATACATACATACATACATACATACATACATACATACATACATACATACATACATACATACATACATACATACATACATACATACATACATACATACATACATACATACATACATACATACATACATACATACATACATACATACATACATACATACATACATACATACATACATACATACATTACATACATATACACATACATACATACATACATACATACATACATACATACATACATACATACATACATACATACATACATACATACATACATACATACATACATACATACATACATACATACATACATACATACATACATACATACATACATACATACATACATACATACATACATACATACATACATACATACATACATACATACATACATACATACATACATACATACATACATACATACATACATACATATACATACATACATACATACATACATACATACATACATACATACATACATACATACATACATACATACATACATACATACATACATACATACATACATACATACATACATACATACATACATACATACATACATACATACATACATACATACATACATACATACATACATTACATACATACATACATACATACATACATACATACATACATACATACATACATACATACATACATACATTACATACATACATACATACATACATACATACATACATACATACATACATACATACATACATACATACATACATACATACATACATACATACATACATACATACATACATACATACATACATACATACATACATACATACATACATACATACATACATACATACATACATACATACATACATACATACATACATACATACATACATACATACATACATACATACATACATACATACATACATACATACATACATACATACATACATACATACATACATACATACATACATACATACATACATACATACATACATACATACATACATACATACATACATACATACATACATACATACATACATACATACATACATACATACATACATACATACATACATACATACATACATACATACATACATACATACATACATACACATACATACATACATACATACATACATACATACATACATACATACATACATACATACATACATACACATATACATACATACGTACATACATACATACATACATACATACATACATACATACATTACATACATACGTACATACATACATACATATACATACATACATACACTTACTTACTTACTTGCTTACATTACATACATACATACATACATACATACATACATACATACATACATACATACATACATACATACATACATACATACATACATACATACATACATACATACATACATACATACATACATACATTACATACATACATACATACATACATACATACATACATACATACATACATACATACATACATACATACATACATACATACATACATACATACATACATACATACATACATACATACATACATACATACATACATACATACATACATACATACATACATACATACATACATACATACATACATACATACATACATACATACATACATACATACATACATACATACATACATACATACATACATACATACATACATACATACATACATACATACATACATACATACATACATACATACATACATACATACATACATACATACATACATACATACATACATACATACATACATACATACATACATACATACATACATACATACATACATACATACATACATACATACATACATACATACATACACATACATATACATACATACATACATTACATACATACATACATACATACATACATACATACATACATACATACATACATACATACATACATACATACATACATACATACATACATACATACATACATACATACATACATACATACATACATACATACATACATACATACATACATACATACATACATACATACATACATTACATACATACATACATACATACATACATACATACATACATACATACATACATACATACATACATACATACATTACATACATACATACATACATACATACATACATACATACATACATACATACATACATACATACATACATACATACATACATACATACATACATACATACATACATACATACATACATACATACATACATACATACATACATACATACATACATACATACATACATACATTACATTACATACATACATACATACATACATACATACATACATACATACATACATACATACATACATACATACATACATACATACATACATACATACATACATACATACATACATACATACATACATACATACATACATACATACATACATACATACATACATACATACATACATACATACATACATACATACATACATACATACATACATACATACATACATACATACATACATACATACATACATACATACATACATACATACATACATACATACATACATACATACATACATACATACATACATACATACATACATACATACATACATACATACATACATACATACATACATACATACATACATACATACATACATACATACATACGAGCATGAGAGAGAGAGTGGGGAGAGAGAGGCTTGGGGGGATGGGGAGGATGGGAGCAGAGGGAGGGAGAGAGGACGACAGAACACACAAGGGAGACAAGGAAGAGAGGAAGAAGGAGAAAAGGGAGAGGACAATGTCGGCGGACTGAGCCGGAGGCTCTAAAGTTCTGTGAAACCGCACATATCAGAAGGGCTGGGGCCAGATTTGTAAGAAAACAGCCAACACACCTTTGGGTTTCCCCGGAAACCAGAAGATGGGTGGATCTTGCGTGCCTCCCCAACCCCTTCTTGTTTTGTCCGAATCAGCCATCCCGTTTCTATCACTTGAAGGTGGAATGGCATTTCTATCTTCCTTTTCCTAGCCATCGCACGGTATCTCTTTCCTTCTCCATCACCATCCGTACCCTCCGCTTCCACGCCGTATCTGGGAGGTGCGGGAAAAGAAGTGGAAGGATGGCCCTTTATCAGGTAATATGTGTTCATCCATCCGTCAATCCTTCATGTCATTCCTTTACCTTCCCCATCACATAGGCTCAGAAATTGGGAATGGCATGAAGGAATGGGGGAGGGAAGAGCTGGGAACTACCCGGCCGGCGGAAGAAGGATGAGTGAGAGAGACGTTACCAGACTAATAGAATAGGGTTGATAGTAAAGCTTGGGAATGGTAAGGAATGGGAACTCTTCAATCATCTTCCAGATCCCTTCATCACCTCTGTTGGATGCGGAGAACTGATTAAGATCATAGTGTAGGATCTCTTGGCATTACACTGCCTCAATTGGAATTGCCGGAAGGACAGACAAGAATCCAGACTCTTAATGCTGGAATTTTCATCGATGCAATTGACAGCATGGAAACGAGGGAAGATTCTGATGGGTTTGCGATAAGCCTTCCTTACGTCCCACTCTCTTGTCCGTGGCTGAGTATGGAGGAGGCTTCCGGAGATACAATTCTATTAATCACTCTCCTTCATATCACTTCAAGCCGAATTGAATGATACTGAATGGCAATTTTGCCATGTCAGCCCATTTGCCCAAACCAATGTATCAGTTTGTCTGAGCTAATGGCTCCAGCCATGGTTCTACCAACGGCACAACCCAAATCTCTTCCTTGACAACTTCACCCGCGTGGAAACCGACTGACACCGACAGTGCCAAGTTCAACAATGCCATGGTCGCCATGTGCACGCCATCGCACTACGTCTCAGCAGGGACCAAATGGGGCGAATCGCCCAAGTGGAGGCTTTTCCTCTTGCTGGGGAGCAACGGCCGACTTCCAAGGCCCGAGAAGGCTGGGTTTGATGCACTGACCAAATAAATCATCGACAGCTCGATGACGCCTTTCGGCTGACGGATGGGGCATGTTCCGGAGCAAGACGGTGAAACCCCTCTTCGTGCATTTTTTGCTGCGTCCAGTTGGAAGAAATGATCAACCCCCTTTTGGCTTCCAAGGGGGAAATCAAACCAATATGTATATATATATATAAACAGATTTAGGACCAGCCCCTTCCCCCGCCTTCGTTGCCCACAATTCCCCCGGTGAAAACCGTGGAGGACAAGCTCACCTGGCGCTTCGAAGTGAATCAGCCTTTCCCAGCAGCCAAAGCGCAACAGAAACGATCCAGGAAGAAGTCAAACCAAGTTGCTTGTCAGTGGTAATGCAACGACAATGCCTCACCCATAAGGCAACTGGATCTGCTGGCTGCAATGTGCAGAGGCGCACTGAGACACAAAATGTGCGGTCACCGGCGGTCAATGGTAACTTGCTACCGAACGCAAACTGACAGGTGGGCAAAGTCTGGGCAAACACGCTTCTTTACTGTCAAGCGCTAGTTTGTGTAAACAAGCTTGGCTTTTCCACCCTGCAAGGCTTCAATCATCGAACCCGCATCATTGCGACGTGGCCTCGAAGGAGGTCTGAAGCAGGGATTGCTCCTTGCGCGATTCGAATCGCGGAAGCGGCATATGTGTTGGTCGCTCAAGTTTGGAGGAGCTTCTCTCTGCCACAAGAAAATGGGGGGGGAACTTAGCTTTGCTTGCAGCCTGTTGACCCCTCACTACTAGTCCCCCCCCCCCTCAAAAAAAAAGACTGCCGGTCGGAGGTCCGGCTCTTCTGGAGAAAAAATTGCCGCGTCCTCCGGCATGGCAGCGCCACCAGTCCAGTGCTGCTCCGGCGCGACGGCCTTACGTCAGGCAGGCGTCCAGCCGCAGTACCAAAACAACCCAAATATGTTTGCTTGGCACCAGAACTGGATGGCCGGACCTCTCCTGTGCAGAAAGCTTGCCGTTTGCAAGAATATGCTCAGGTCCGCTTCCTAAAAATAGAGACCCAGGGAAACTCACCTATGGGCAAAAAAGGGTTGTCAAAACGGCCCAACAATCGAAATATGGGGACATATAGGGGCTGCCATGGCACCCCTATCCCGCAAGCCTCCCACTAATATTAAGAACGTTTCAAAAGCTCGGATTTAGTGCTGGAAAATTGGACATTCGCGTGGAACCCAGAAAGGGGTCCTTGCTTTTTTTCTCTGCTTCTCCTCTGGAACATGGGCGGCGTTCTGGGTTCCATCTTCAGGTTAAGATTGCCGGGTATTAGGGAAAAACACGCGCACACACACACACACAGACTCGAAGGCAAAGGTTGCGCGCCTTCACAGCCCTCTCGGCCTTAGCCTTCGGGGTGATCTGGAAGGAGGTCTGCAGCAGCTGGACGTCCAGCAGTTCGGCTTCCTCCTGAGGAGCTTCCAAAAACAGCGTTTCCGAGCCATTTCCCCTTTTGCAACCTCCAAAAAGTGGAAGTTTCAATGGAAACCATCAGTAAATTGATCAACTTTTTGAGGGGGAAATCTAGTGACCCCTACAAAATGATGGATTTCGGATCCCCTTGCAAGGTTCTGATTTTATAAAGGAAACTCAAAGTGGCGAAGCCGACCTCCTTCCAGTCAAGAAAGTGGACAAAAGGCAAGCTTCAAAAAAGGAAACAAGTCTTCCAAACTCCTTCGATCGACAGCTTCCATGATTGGAGTGAAGCTACCCACTTGAACTTGCAACGGTTTTGCAGGGATCTTTACAGGATACCCCTGAACATTGCCTTGTAAAGCGTGGCTTCCCTTTATTTTGGTGGAAAAAAACATGTTTCAAATGGTTGCAAAATGTATGTTTTAAGGAGCCCTGTTTTGGTGTGCGTGTGTGTGTGTGTAAACTGAGGCTCCCCAGGTCTGGGAGAAAAGGGGTTCGGGCTTCCCCCCATCCCACGTCAAAAAGAGAGAGGGGTTTCCCTTGTCCATGGGAAATCGCGGGGCCAGCAGACGCCAAGGATGAACTCCAACACCTGATTTAAAGGGTGCCCGCCAAAAAAAAAACTTATTAATAATAGGAATGAAAACATAATAACTTGAATAGTAGTAATAGCATTAAACAAATAACAATAATAATAATAATGATAATAATAATAATAACAATAGTAATCAGAAACTACATCATGGCGAGCCCTTCTCAAGCAAAGCAAAGGCCGCATCGTCCTCTGCCCGGTCGCACTGCTCCGCGTCGAGCTCATTGGCAGCGCCGAGCAGAGTGGTGAGAAGCAATGCCCGGACCTCCGAGTTCGCGAAGCGGCCGGCTCGGAGGGGCCCGCAGCTTGAAAATGCACAGTCTTGCTGGTGAAAAAATGAAAGAGCCATGTACCATCTCGCCAATCAACATGGAACCTGACGGGGACCCGGTCCCCTTAAAGGGAACCTGGTCTAGTAGGACACCCCGAACGTCAGGTTCCAGCTTACTCGGAGCGAGTTGGTAGCGAGCCTGAAAATGTACATTATGTAACTTTGACAAAGATCCCGGCCCTCCGAAGGCGCCAAAAAAAAACATACCCTTCGAACGGACATGTGATGAGCCCTGAAAGATGACCCGGTGGCTTGTGTGGTGACTTCTTAGCGGGTCCTGGTCAGACCAACCACTTTTTTCCTGAGAGGTTCTACATCCTTCGCATGCGCGCTCCGTATTGGTGCAACCATTGCCACTGGCACGGTGGAGTCCTATGCTCTGCTTCCACCCCCTGAAACGAATGAGGGGCGCCTCTAGGACTAAAAAAAAAACACGGGCAGGACTCCACCTAACAACAGGCAAGGGCTTAATTTAGGGCATATCAGCCTATCCGCAACCTCGGCCGCGGCTTCGGACCAAACTGGATCGCAGCCACGCCGCGAGCATCGCTCGAAGAATATGGAAGGTGCTTGCGTGCCAGGCGGGATTTCCACAAGCAAGCCTTGGCAACCAGGGCGAAGTTTAACTGAAGCCAGGTTCTTACATCACTTGCAAAATGAACATGGAACCTGAAAAAAGGGCATCCTTCCCCCAAAAGGAGATTTCTCTGCAAATGGTGGATTTGTGCATCCCAGTAGCCCTCAGGCTGCGAATTTTTGACATGACTCAAACTGGGGTGGCTCTGGAATTTCGGCAAGGTCCGTTGTTGGAACTTCGAGTGGGTTGACCAAGCTTTGGTTGGCTCCTGACTGGAAGCATTCTGCTTGGTTGAACCTTGACTCGGCCATTGGCAAGCCCATAAGTGGATGTCCAAACAGCAGTCCAATTGTTCATCATGACCCCCAAGCCACCACCAAGAAAACAAATCGTACACAACCACTATAGAAACTATAGAACCGCTGCATAGAGGTCATGTATCCAGTTTACCCTGAGGACAGGTTCTGGTGTCCTTTTGGATTCCTTTTCAACCAACCCTTTTTGGGGGCACTGAAAAAGACAGGCCCATGTCCATTTCGGCCCCCCAACACATACATCATTCGGGAGGAGAACCGCCCCAGCTAGGCTCGCGGCAGCGTCGCCGTTCTCGGAAGGCGAGTCTTGAGCCACGGGCCGAGACCCGCGTCAAAAAATGGTCCGAGGGTACCTTTTCAAGGGTCCTTTGACACATACGCATGTATCGGCAGCCAGGGGAAAAAAAAACACAACTTGAGACACATGCCAAAACAAGTCTGTCATCCTGCTTTACACGAGGAGCTTGACGCGCCAGTTGGGGAGACCTCGGGGGAGGGGGGATTCCACACTGACGGAAGCCGCGGGCAGCCAAGGCGGCTCGCACACATCTTGAAACTCTTTTTCCAATTCGACTTCCTCGAAAGGCATGGGATAGTCACCAGCTTCTTTGTGAAGGTGGTTCAAACCAGTTTGGGGTGAGCTACTGGAAAGGCCCCCCCATCCAGGCAATGACCGCGTGCCCTAAAGGGGAGGGCACTGAAAGGGGGATTCAAGCCGACAAAGACCTCCGAACTTTCTTCGCCTTTTGCCCGAGAAACCCCACCGCCCCGCTCGCACCGACTTCCACCGAAGTTCTCTTTTTCCGGCGGCTGCAGGCCGGGGTTCGGAAGGGCTCCCGGCGGCCCCGGGTTGAGGGTCATGCAGGTTTCCTCAGCAGAGTGGGCGCGTTCGTCCGGTCTTTTTGCGGCCACCCCTCTGTTTGAAAGGAAACCAGAAGGAAAACCATCCAATCTAAGTAGGTCCCCATTTTTTGTGGAAATGAAGGAAAACCATCCAATTCAAGTGGGTCCCCATTTTTTGTGGAAAGGACACCAGAAGGGAAACCATCCATTTTGTGGCTTGACCCTAAAAGACGACACGTTCAAATAGACGCGTTTGACCACCGAACGGCTTGTCACCGAGAGCGGGTTGCACCGAATCACTTCGGTTTCCCTGCGGCAGACGAACCAGAGAAGGCCAACCCAAGTTGGCTGCTACGCGCAGTTAGTCAACCGCTTGAACAGCAGGGATGTGTGGTGCGTACGCGGCTTGCGGCTTGCTGTTGTGATGCTTGGTCCTTGCTTGGCTTCCTGTGGTTTTCCCTGTGTCCCTTCAACTTTGCTTTTGGCTCCTCTTTGGTTTACGTTGGCACCATCCGCAAACGGGCCGAGCCTGGATGCACCGCGTGCCCAACACGTGGCCTGTGACCTTGTTTGGCCCTCTTTGGCCTTTTGGCTATGACTTTCAATGGGGAACACCCTCCATACAACCCCACCAAGTTTGAGGTCCAGCCGGGCCACGATGAAAACTCGCACCCAAAGACTTGTCTCGTGAACCCCTGACCCCTGCGGAGGGGGTTCTTTTTTGGAGCCGCCCAAAGAAGGTTTGCCGGGGCTCGGACACCTCAGCTGTTGCCATCGCACAGCTTCTTAATGTTGGACAGGGCTGTGGGAAATGCCCACTTCTGTGATACAAGAAAAAGGTCCCCAAAAAACTGGCCGGCCATGTAAAGAGGGTATCACAAACGTGGTTGGATAAACCGCTTGATCCCACAACCCTGATGTTGGATGTTTTTTAAAGGGAAAAGTCATAGTGAGGCAGTGAGGCACAGTGTCTCCCCCCCCCCCGTTTATCCCCAGAGCGCCGAGCGCCTGTGTAAGCCACCACATTTTTCAGGTCTGGGTGACTTTGGGCTGGATGATGTGAAGGGGTCCCCAAAAAGGTGAACCAGCCGGTATCTAAGGAGGTTCCCTTGCACAAACCGACCTCCCAGTTAATAAACAACAGCCAAGAAAAACTGACCGGTCACTGGCCAGCAAAAGCACGGACTTTTAGGCCTTGACTGGATAAAGAAACCCGCAACCAACAGTTCATAGCTTGCCTTTTCAAAAGATAAGGAAACGGATGGATTCATGTTTTAGGATGTGTCAAGTTGCTCGGCTTCCCTTTTCCAAGCACGACATTCGCCAGCCACGAGGAGTTTCTTCATTGGAATGCTCTAGCCACCCCTGTCTTAGGCTAGGCCGTCGAGGGTGCCATTTGGAGGCAAGCTCAACTGAACATGGACTTGGCACCCGGCCAAGCCGGGAAACATGGCCTCCTGAAAAAAGGGGCACCTAAAGGAGTGCTAGTGCAACAGTAATTTGTTTTTTCCATCCCCCATGTATTCATGGAAGCCCTTTGACCCTCAAATGGTTCCAGCGTGCTACACGCATAAGAGCCCTTACAAGCTGCAACCAGTTTCTTATCCCTTCAACGGGTCTCCCAAAACAGAAGACTTACTTCTTTCCACTGAGAACCTGCATGGCATCGCCTTCCATAGCGAGTTGGCCTATTTAGCGAGGGATCTGCAGCTGCATCTGCTGCTGCTTCTCTTGGAAGCGGAGGGACACCCGCCTCAGCCGGGACGAAGCCAATTTGTTTGGCCAAACTGAGGCCTGCGCGCAGGTCCAACATGCCCGCAATGGTTGGGTTTTCATTAGCCCATACCCAACAAGCACCGCACCGCAGTGCAGTGCTACAGAACAACAACAAAGCAATGCATCGCCATCCGAGGCATCCGTCCACTTTGGAGAAGGCCCAAGGATGAATGTATCCTCAACGTACGCATGTGTGTCTTTTTCCGCTTGGTTGAAACAGAGACCAAGCGGAAAGCGCCTCTTCTTCTTTTTGTTGTTGGTGCTGTTCTGTGCTTCTTCTTCTTTTTTGCGGGGGGACCTATTTTGACACATACCCAACTGCTTCAAACCCTCCAGAAACCTACCGCAATGCCGCCCCTGAATTTGCTAAAACCAGGGCTGTGGGAAAACACCCTCCCCACTCACCGGGCGAAAACGAACCCTGGCTGTGGCAAAGGCTGGCTGAAGGACATGAACTTCTGCACCTGGGCTCACAGATTCCAGGCGAGTCCCCTAAGCTTGGGCACCTTCCCTGCAGGGGTACCTTCCCCATTTGGTTTTTCACAAGGTAGGGTTCAAATCCCCAAACCACCAACACAAAGCACCAATTGGAGGGAAGCTGACCATTGGCTCTCCCAAACAGAACAAATTGCCCGAACCAAGCATCACCCCGAAAGGACCCGCGTGAAAAAGCTCCAAAGACCCGGTCTTAGTAGAACAGTTGCGCCGGAGAATAAACAAACACAAAAGAACCTGTTCACCCCAATTCTACTCACTTCCGAACGTCGATGGCCCCAAAGCAGTCTGAACTCTTGTCAAAATTGAGCCGCCTTTCAGGTCACGGCTCCCCCTCCCTTGAAGTTAGGCTCAAAGCAGCCAATAGGGTTGCTGCTGTGTCCCCGGTTCGGAACCCACAAAATGGATCTCCCTTTTTCTTTGGCTTCCCTTTGGCTTCCCTTGCAAACATTCCCCACACCATGCCACGATCTTCCCCCCCCCCCCAAAAAAAAAAGAAGAAGAAAAAAAACGGAAGAAAGAACAAGATGCAACCCTTCTCACCAGGACCCCCCTCCCAAAACAAAAAGAGCTGTAACCCCTCTTCACCCCCATCCCTCACTTCCTCCCCCGCCACCCCGAGTGTCGGGCGCACCGCGTCACACACTGCTCCTCGTGACCTTCCAGGCCCTGCAAAGTGCTCCGCACTCGCCGACCGTGTAGCGAATGACCTTTTCGAGGTGTTGGGAATGAACCGTAGGGGATTCCCGAATAGACACCAAAGGACGGATGGCTTTTGTCTCTCATTCCCTGAGAACCAAGTGAAACATGGAACCAAAAGAATCGGTCCAAGAACTTGCCAGTTACAACCTGTGACTCTGGTTGCATAGAAGGGAACCATCTTTTTTGCAAGCTGATCGTATTCTTAGCGGTTGGAACCCAACAGAAAGGGGAAAGGGTGCCAGTGAAAAAGCACTGTACCGGTACCGAAATGGCTGGTGGACATTCATCCCCCAGAGAGAAGTCTTTACACACTTGTGGTCTGGGTCAAAATCCCGTACCCCCACTGAACATCCCAATCCCAAAATAGACTAAAATGGGTGGTGCACCTACCCCAATACCATTGGTTTTGACCCACGTGCAGCTTTCGACTTTTCCCCCGTCTGCTTTGAGGGCAACGATTTGGGTGCCCTCCTCGGAAACTCTTGAAACGCTTGGAGGCGCAAAAGCCAAAGGCTCCGCGCCTTGGTGCGAAAGCTGGTGACGCACTCGTTGAAGCATCGCTCCACTAGGGTGTTGTACATGTTCATCATGTCCTGCGTTACTTAGGGACTGCGGGAATGAACCCGCTTCGCGTAAAGCAAAGCACGAGTGGATCTGTATGGATCATTCCATCTCTCATTCCCTGCTGACCAGCAAGGCTTGGGGAGGTCAAAGCCAGGGTTTCCGCTCACGCGCCCTGTCGGAAGTGTAACCGGTGTGCTCACCGTGGTGAGAATCATGGGCCTTTGCCCCCATAGGCGAGCTCACAGCTTTTCATGAAGACCCTGACTTGGCGGTTCAAATGGCTGTGGCTCAAAAAAAAGTACCCAAAATAGTATCTAGGTAAATGGAAACAAAAGCCAAAACCTGCGTAACCCTACCTCTTAAATTTTGAGTCAAGATTGTACGCGTTGTAGATGCATGATTTCCAACTTGTAGGCCTTCCAATCATCTTGGGTTGCTCCAATCCAACTGGTTGAGCTGAACCCCTGTTGAAGCAGCGGCTGCTTATGGGCGTCCTTTTGCATGCATGACGCACTTTGGAAACAGGACGGATCTCATGTACAACCTCTGCTTCCCACGAAGCAAGCCGCCAAAACCGGCGGTCTAAGCTTCTTGCAAAACCGGTGAGCGTTGCAAACGCGTGGCCACCCCTTTTTGTGGTCTTAAGGAAAAACGAAAGGGACAACGACACACCCAACTTTTGGATTTCCCCTGGCTCCTGCATCTGCATCTCATTCAGCGCCTGCACGACTTGCATCTGGTCCCGTTGGGACAGCTGGTCCATGCCTCCGACGTGAAGGGAGGACCCCCCGCAGGATATCCAACTTTTGGAGGTCCACAACAAGAGCAAAAAGACCTCTAAAGGATTCGGTCGGCACGTGGGCCGAAGGGGCACGGCTTGCATGGAACCCGAGATCCATGTAACCTTGCAATGTGAACCTTGGAACAAGAAGTCTGGTGCACATTCGCCTCAAGTTCATCAAGGGCCGGTGTGCATGGGTACACGGCGTAGCCTTCATCACATTGAACAGGATTGTGTTAAATCAGCTACTGCGTGATTAAAGAAGCGTGTCCCGTTTTTTTGGCGGGAAGCCTTCTGACGGAAGCAGCCCCCTACGTCGGCAAGGTCTGACCGTGAGTGGAGGGAGGCGCTAAAAAGAGAGTGCCTAGCGAAATGGTTAGTTCCCCCGCAGTTTCTGCTTCATTCCAAAAACCGCACTTACTTGCAAGGAAATCAAAATTTGAAGAACCATATTCCCCGCAAGCACCCCTGGCGTGGCTGGCTTGCAGCGGATCTACCAAGTTGCGACACGAGTTGTTAAAAAGTTGGGCCTCCTTCCGTAGATGAGCTCGTCCCAATTCCCCCCCCTCCCCCCGAAGCCAAAAAACGATACGCACATTTCGGAAGTTTTGGACTATGGCGTCACCTTTGCACAAACTGGAACCCGCATGCAGCAAACATGGCCCAAACACAGAAATCCCGTTTGATGAGTTCGTGCGTTCCCCCGCCCCCCCGCGGCGGGCCTGGAATTGACATGGCGCGAATTTGGCTGAAGGCGCTATTCACAAAACCCCCTCTACTATTGGCGCTATCAGCGCCCAGATCTCGCGGCGACCGAACTCGTCGATGCGAATCGACGGCCCTCCCCCCCCACAAAAGGACGCAAATCGATGGAAAAGAACCCTCTCAAGGATCTAGCCGCGAATATTGCAGCCCATCGAGTGTGGGAATACACACGTTCGCAAAGGCGTCCATGTTTGCTTGTTCCTCGCCTTTTTCCGCAGCGACTGTGGCCTTGTGGCCGGGCGCCAAGGGCGCTACCGTCAAGGGTGGGTCGGGGCTGGCCTCTGGAGGCAAGGAGCGGCGCACGTCAAGGAGGAGCTGCTTCCAGTGTCCTTCCTGGAAGGCTGGAATTCGTGCTGAAGCAGCATACAGGGCAGGAGAAGCCAGGCGCTGCAGCGGGTCCAGGCCGCTGGCATGAGATGCCCTTGTCAACTTCTGACATTTGTTCATTGAGTTAAGGCCTGTTGCACTGCTCCTAGCTTGAACCCAAACAACCCTCACATCAAAGACACCCGCAAATCCGAAAGGCGCGCACTCTTTTCTCCCGGGTTGCTTGAAAGTTGCACTGCTTCCAGGGCACGCGGCGCACCTGGGGCTTGTCCCCCTTGTGAAACTTTAAGGGACAGCGTGGCAAGCGTGCCCACGCTGATGTGTGCGGCGAGGGAGTACCGCGGGTACAGCCCTGGGCAAGGCAAGGGCAGGCGTGCCCAAGCCTGGGCTTGAGGTGCAGAGCGTCTGCAGCCTCGAGCCCGCCTTGTGAGTTCAAGGCTAGGAGCAAAATTGCCACCGCGTACGAGATTCACAACAAGCCCTAAACACAAGGGAAAAGAAAACCCTAAGCGTTAAGGCCTGTTGCACTGCTCCTAGCTTGAACCCAAACAACCCTCACATCAAAGACGCCCGCAAATCCGAAAGGCGCGCACTCTTTTCTCCCGGGTTGCTTGAAAGTTGCACTGCTTCCAGGGCACGCGGTGCACCTGGGGCAGGAGGAAGCATTGTCCCCCTCTTCAGTGTTTCCAAGGCATTGCGGAAGACAGTCTGGATGCGCACGAGCCAGCCTGCTGAGAGCGAATGGTGTTCGACGGATATTTCGGGGGTGTCATCGAAAAAGGCTTGGCTAATGAGCTGGAGTTCGGATCGGATTGCCTTAGTCGACTTGGCCTCCATTCGCTCTTGATACTGGCGTGCGGAGAGGCGAAACTGCCAAGGCACCCATTTGAGTGTCTGTCTCGGCTTGAGCCCTTCGTGGACTAGGCTCAAAAGGCGAATCGGGGGCGAGGTGTCCGCATCGAGGAGCTCCCCGGGATAATTGGTCTTGAAGGTTTCCACAAGCCCAGTCCTTCCGGCGAGGATTCGATGGCGAGGATTCGTTTTTTTCAGCGCTGATTCGAGTTGACGAGGATTCGTGTAAAAAACACTTGACGAGGATTCGGGTTGACGTGGATCCGTGTCAACCGACGTGGGTCAGCTGCGCATGCTCGTAGTATATTCGCTGAGTTTTGTTGCATGGCATGACTTTCCATTTCCATATCGCAGATGCCTCGGGCACATCTTCGCATGATATTCGCTTTATATACTGTTGCAGAATCCGCTGGAAACAGAGTTTGTTCAGACGATTAGTTGCGTGACATGTTTTGTCATTAGCACAAAGCGTAGGATGCCTTGGGCTCCTCCTACAGTCTCTATAGCCCGTAAGCAAAAATCAGGAAGCCGCTTGCTCCTAAATGTGCTTGATTGTACGCGAAAAGAAGGTAGTCGCTAGCTCCTGAAAGCTTGCACTTGCGCGCTTTGTGCCCACTTAATCAGTTTCAGACATTTGCATGTTTCACCCCGCTCAAAAAACAAATGGCATTCCTGTTTCCACTCCCAGGCCGCAGCGGTGACGCGCGAAGGAGATGAAAAGAACACTTGCTGCAAGGCGCAAGGCAAGGGCTGTCAGCTCCAAAAGGAGCGCAGGGCTCCTCCTTGTTCCAAAAAGGGGAGAGAGAGAGAGAGAGATGACGAGAAAGAAAAAGAAGAGAAAAAGAAGAGAAAGGGAAATATGAAGAGGAAGAGAAAGATAAAAACAACAAGAGAGCGGGAAAGAGAAAGAAGTGAAAAATGCGCAAGAGAAAGAGACAGAGAAAGATGAAGAAAGAAAGATAGAAAGAGAGAGAGAAAGACAAAAAGACAGAAAACATAATAAAAAAGAAAGAAAGAAAGAAAGACAGAAAGAAAGAAAGAAAGAACGAAATAACGAAAGAAATAAATAAAGAAAGAAATACCTAAACACATAAATAACGAAACAAAGAAGGAACATAAACAACGAAAGGAAGACATAAAGAAAGAAATAACTCAAGAAATAAAAAACACAATGATATAAAGAGATAAACCAATACAGAAAACAATGAAATAAATGAAGAAATAAATGACGAAATAAATCAACAAAAAGAAAGACATGCATAAATAACTATAAATAAAGAAAGACAAACATAAATACCTAAAGAAAGAAAACATAAATAAATAAATCAAGACATGAATTTAGAAAGCAAGGAATAACAAGACAAAGAGAAAGAGAGAAGGAGAGAAGGAGAGAAAGAGGCAAAGAGAGAAAGATAAAGAGATAAAGATTGCAAGAGAGCAAGAGAGAAAGAGAAAGAACATGACAAATAAAAAGACAATGAGAAAGAGAGAAACAAAGACAAAGACAAAGTGAGATAAAGAGAGAAAGAGAGAGAGAGAGAGAGAGAGAGAGACAGAGAAGGGGAAAACAAGCCTGCTGCAAACTATCGTTCTTCTAGTTTTGAAACGTCTGCCAACCGGCTTCGCCGGCTTCACGGGTGTACAAACTGTTCCCTTTCTTTTACTTTTGTCTTTGGTTGATGTTTGGTACTTGGACCAAGCCCTGGGACCCTCCCATTTCCCCAGCATTGCCCTGAGATTGCTTGCGGTGTCTCTCCTGTTTTTGTTCCTTCGCTTGATGTTGATTTTCTTTGTGCCTTTGCAGGCGTCACCTGGCCAACATGTCGCAGTTATGTTCAAAACACTTTTCATCACCTTTGCTTTCCCTTTTCTCATGGGAACTTTGTTATCTTCATTGCGTTTGCCTTCTTTGGGTTTGGTGGCGTGGAAATTTATGAAAACATGATGAACCAGAAAAAAATGGGTTGCTGGCTTTCAATTGGTCCATTGGCCAGGGTGGATGGTGCTGGAATTATGCCAGATAGTATGAACATATTTTTTGCAGGCGTCCCACTTAAAACATGATATGGGTCAACTTGTTTTTGCAAATTTTGATCAACGATGCGTTGGATCAAAATTGATCACAAATGAATTGCTGGGAAGCACGTGGAATTGAGAGCGAACCCCAAACATGGAACGCTAACTAGTTTTCCCTGTGTGGTTGCGAGTTCTAGGGCAAATCATGTTGGGCCATCTTAATTGAAATCAAAACCCCTCGAAAAGAGGGTGTCAACCCCTCGAAAAGAGGGTGTCACCCACGAGTAACCGCGACTCCTTGGGAAGAGGGTGTCACTCTTGGCCCAAAACCCCTTGAGAAAAGGGTGCCATCCATGATAATTATTTCGTCGAAATACTTTAACACATAAAAACATGTAGTCACCAATTTGTCTGACACAAGTTTGGGCTGCAAAATGTTGAGACCACAGAAAGTTGTAGTCCAAATATGTTCCTTAATTGTATTGCATTTGTCAAAAGATGTTCAACTATCCCAAATTGTAATTACCAACTTATTTGTCAAGCATTTGGCCTGCAAATGCTTGAGGCCGCCGCACATGTGTAGTCCAAATATGTTCCTTAAATAACAAGTTGCTGTCAATTCTTTGGCCCGCAAATGTTTGAGGCCACAAGAGGCTATAACCCCGGATTGTCCCTTTCTCTATTTTTGAATTTGTTGGCCCACAAAAATGTGTAGTTACCAATCCCTTTTGTCATACATTTGGCCTGCAACATGTTGAGGTCACAGCGCATTGTGGTCCAGAGATGTTCCTTACCCGTACTTTGGACATATGATGGCCCATAGACATGTAGTCACATGTTTTGTCAAGTTTTTGGCCTGCTAACTTTTGAGGCCACAGGAAGTTGCAGTCCAACAAATGCTCAATGTCAAGCATTTGGCCTGCAAATGTTCAAGGCCGCCGTAAATTTGTAGTCCAAATATCGTCCTTAATTCAACAATTGCAGTCACCAATTTGTTTGTCAAAGCTTTGGCCTGCATATGTTTGAGGCCGCAAGAGACTGTAACTCCGTTTTGTTTTTGGAATTTGCTGGCACATAAAATTGTGTAGTTTCCAATTTCTTGTGTCATACATTTGGCCTGCAACATGTTGAGGTCACAGCGCATTGTAGTCCGGAGATGTTCCTTAACTATACTTTCAACATATGTAGGCACATAAACATGCAGTTACATGTTCTGTCACATATTTGGCCTGCAAACCCTTTGAGGCCACAGGAAGTTGTAGTCCAACTATGTTCCCAATTGAACGGTCAAATCCTTGGCTTTGAAATGTTTGAGGCCACAAGAAACTGTAACCCAGGAATGTCCCTTTCTTTTCTTAAATTTGTTGGCCCATGAAATTGTGTAGTCACCAATGTCCTTTGTCATACATTTGGTCTGCAAAATGTTGAGGCCACAGGAAACTGTAGTCCAGAGATGTTCCTTAACTATACCTTCAACATATGCTGGCCCATACACATGTAGTCACATGGTTTGTCAAATAGTTGGCCTGCAAACGCATCCCAGAAATTCCCTTCTGTCAAATATGTGGCCTTCAACAGGTTGAGCCCACAGGAAATTGTAATCCAGGGATGTCCCTAAATTATATTTCCCATACATGTTAAATTGATGTTAAATTTTAACATCAATTTAACAACATTTAACATCAATTGTCATTTACTTTTAAAGGTAATTGGATGTTAAATGATGTTAAATGGATGTTAAAATTTAACAACTATTTAACAATCATATTCCCGGGTGATGCCCCTAACCGTTTTACTTTTTTGTGTGGGTGGCCCCATAATGTTGCAGGACACATAGTTGAACAA